GGGCGGGCGCGGGGGCCACCCGAGCCGGGCACGGCCCGCGGGGGGCTGGCGCCCGTCGGCCGGTGCAGCCCCGGCCGGGCGGCAGGAGCGGCCGGGACGTTTCCTGGGCAGGAGCTGCCCTCGCGTGGTGGAGTCTGGGAGTTAGAAAATGCGGGACTACCAAGACTCGGGACTTGAATGCTGAAAATTTGCTTGCAAACCGAACAGCAATATAATAAATAAAAAGAGGGAAAGGGTGTTGCACTTCGGGTTTGTAACCCAGTGCGTGGACTCAGGAATCACTGAATTTCTCTGCCTCTTAGTTTTCCCTCTTTGAGAAGCAGGGATGCCGATTGCTACCTGCTTGCGGAGAGGCCTCCGAGAGCCGCGCGAGAACCACTTTGTACAAAGATTACCGTTCTTGCTGCTGCGCGGGTGTTGTGGGCTGGGTGACGAGGGATAAACTGGCCCTGGCTGCCTGCCTGCCAGCAAATGCCACTGAAACGCTGTGTATCTAAACCGCTGATCTTCATAGCTAGTGCTGACGAACTATGTGCTCTCTGCTACCGTCACTAAATACAGAACTCCAGCTCTCTAACGGTGAAAAGTTTATCTTGGATCGTGATGTCATTTGTGACTCTAATGCTCTGAAACGACGTCCAACCCTTTGGGCTTCTGCGGTTTTAGAGACAGCGTTGTGTGCATGGGACGCTGCGAGCGGAGCCCACGCTGCAAAGCATCCTGAGCGGCTTTACTGTGCCTTTCGCTCTTACCTTCTCTCTGCTTAAGCTTTTCTTTCCCTCCACAGGGGAACCTGTCCAAATTGCAATGAGTCTGGACATTGCAAGCATTTCTAGTATATCCGAGAGCGACATGGTGAGTGAAAGAAATTATTATTTTATAAGAGATAAGAGTAGGATCTGCCTGAGAGACTCTTCATATGTTCCTGTGTGCTCAGCACAGAAACTAATGGTCATATTCAGGCTGCTTTGTTCTTCTGTGTCCACTGACCAGTTTCAGGGGTGTGATGAGAACAGGGCCCATTTATGACTGCAAACTACATAGATGCCATAGTAATGTGGGCTTGTAAGTAAACAGGGATGGCTCCAAAGGTCCTACTGGTCAAAAACTCAGCACCTCCTGGAAATCAGGCCCCTTTGAAACGGAAAAAATCAGTCCTGTGTGGTGTTGCCTCTCCCTTACCTTTCCTCTGTGTAGGGTAGGGGTGGCCTCTGTTGGACGTGCTGGTGCTGACTGAAGACACAGACAGGGTTTCTTCTCTAGGAGGAGAAATGAAGTTTTGAGCTGCGACACAGTCTGAGGCTCAAAGGACTGGTCATCTCAAGAAAAAAAAAATATTCAAATATACACAGAACATCTTCCCACCACTGATGAGTCTGGTTCCCTCCACTTCTGGTAACAGCTGGATTTCAAACACTGATCACTGAAAACTCCTGTTTCAGGTTGACCAAAACTATGGGCAACTTGGGTGAATTCAGCAAATAGTTTCAGTCCAAACAGTCAGAAGTTCAGTCAGGAACAATTTCAACACTTAATTTCAGCATTTTCAAGATGACCTCTGACTTTTTTTTTTTTTTCCTCTCCCCCCAATAAATTAAACAAGTTCACTAAATAAAATACTGTAACTTTGATAAAGCTATTCATTTCGGGTAGGGGCAGAACCAACAAAATCAATTATTCGCATACCTCTAACTTAATAAAAGGGCCTTGTAAAATAGCTCCTGTTCTGGAGTTTTCCTTCTTGAGGGTCCATCTAAATTGCTCTGACCACATGGGAAACATTACAGAGGCTTACTCTGTGCCTCGATAAAACCTGGAAATCACCTAGGATTCTTCACTTTTGTCACTATTATAATTCACTGTATTGAAAGCCGTAACAGTGCATTATTTGATGTTTTTTCCTCTGTCGCAGGCCGAGAGTAAAATTTTAAAAGTTGCAAAAGCTAACGCTGATACCTGATGCTTATTTAGACCTTTTCTCTTAAAGTGTTTTACAAATTATAGATCAAATGAAACAAACTGCTTCATCCTCCACAGACAGGCAGCCTATCTGTGGTAGAACACAGTGACTTCGTGCTGTTAACACAATCACCAGTATCAGTCTGTCTGTGACAGAGATGTTTTGAAAATAAAAAGCATTACTGGTTGCACTTACTTCATCTATAAGGAAGGAAGGGAAACAGTACAGCAGTGCCCTGTGCCTGTCCAGAAGGGTCAGTAAAGAATTCTCTTCAGAGCTGAGTACTGCTTATTCTTTTATGATGGGGCACTGTGAAAATACTCCAGTCGCTGCAGGTAGATTTTGGCAGGCTAAACTCAAGTTAATCCTGGTATCCTTCGATTCAAAACCCCTATTAAAAAAGATGCTACAAGCTTTGTTTTTTCATTAGTTTGGGGTTTTTTTAAGACCTTGGTGAAATAACAGGTTGGATTTGCTTACCTTTTTTCTCTAAGGTGCCGATGTCTCTTTCATGATCTTGTTTATAGTATGCGTGTAATTTCCCAACTCTAGACAATGATTGATTTTTAATGTCAGTGACTTGCTGAGTGACCTCAAGTGTGCACTTCCCATCTGTTTTCTTACCTGCAAAATGGACACAAAAATATCAATTACAGTAATTGCTTGTTTAAAAAAAAATACTATGAGTATAATCTTTAGTCCTCAAACACTACACCTTAGAGTATAAATATATGAGAAATGTAATACAGTGAACAAAGCTATGATGAAAATCTGTCAGATTTACTGCATGCATTTGAAGCTGAGCTTCAATAGGTTGAACAAATGTGTGGTCATACCCACAGCTATGCTGTGTAGGTGTTCTGGACATGCGTCCTCACAGGCTTTTCTCTCTTTCCCAGGATTACACAGCTACTATATATTTGCGGCAGCGCTGGACAGACCCCCGCTTGGTCTTTCACGGCAACAAGAGCTTCACGCTAGACGCTCGTCTAGTGGAATTGCTCTGGGTACCAGACACGTACATTGTGGAGTCAAAAAGGTCCTTCCTGCACGACGTCACTGTGGGGAACCGCCTCATAAGATTGTTCTCTAATGGCACTATCTTGTATGCCTTAAGGTAAATCAACCTTTTCCTTTGCTGCTGATTTTGGTTCAGAATAGATTTCCGGAATTATGCCGGACAGGAGCAGATACCATCTGCCACGGGTAATGAGTTTGGGGTCAACAAGCCAACTGTGACCATACTCTTCTGATCCATTACCCTCTGCTCTGGCCGCCTGGAAGAGCCAGCCGAGGATCAGGGTTCCCCACCATGGTACGCGCCGTGTCCCGAGCACGGTGCCGGCTCAGAAAGCTCACGAGTTTAGGTGTTACCAGGACAAGTCAAGTCGAGTCAGATGGAGGCAGGGAAGGAAAGGAGGGAGGACATCGTAACAGTTTAACAGATGGTGGGAAACTATTTGCTTATCCAGTGCCATGTAGCCACGATTTCTGCTTTTTAGGAAAAAGCACATTTGTACACGTACTGCGGAAATGTGACTGTAATTGTGTTAGCAATCCATAAAGTGTTATCTCTTCTCAGCTCACAGTAACTGTGTCCCAGTTACCTTAACTGCAAAATAAAGCTGCAAAGTAAAACTCATTTATCCTCCACATCAGAGCAAGAGTACGTGTGCAGTTAGTGACTGTGCCGCAGGTGACAAGTGGTGACGACTTATGATGTGCAAACTGTAGCACTGGAAAACATGCGAACCTACACTAAATCTCCCACCGCAGCAAAGCAAAATTCCTCCTTCCATTACATTTTCATCAGCGTGGCTGCAGAGAGCATATCTTCTTAAGGAGGGTTCTCTCTGATTACATCAGTCCATTCATTTCATAGGTGAAAATTATCTAAATGACAGAGCGGTCTAGTTTGCTATGAAAAACAGAGATATTCCATTATGTGCTTTTATTGCAACTTTCGGAGATCTTTCTCTTCCTACAGAATCACTACTACTGTTGCTTGTAACATGGACCTGTCAAAATATCCCATGGACACACAAACATGCAGACTGCAGCTAGAAAGCTGTAAGTATAACGTTCTAGAAGAAAAATGACTTGACTTTAAATTTGTTTATTCATATGTAACTACGCATCTTGAACATTTGGATTCATCACAGTGGCTTTTGGGAGTGGACTTTTATTCCTGCAGATACTGATGTCCAAAAGAAAACAACTTCCCTTCACTCTTCAAATGCTTGTGTTGTAATTCACAGTTTAGAGGATTCCTGTTGCTGTGCAATTTATATAAAAAGACTGGTAATAAATAGTATTTTTATTAAAGTGTAGCTAGTTCAATTTTGCACAGAAAGAATGAAGTAATAACAGCTGGTTTTCCAAATTCGGTCCCTTTAGCACACTCAGCTTCTTCAAAACCAACTTGTGGGGTAAGTGCATGGGATGGAGTACAGCAAGGAACAGCTTGTCACATTTTTAGGTATCTACCACCTGCTGCACCTCCCAGACCTCCACTGGGAGAAGACAGCCTGAAGGGTGGCTGTTACTAGAATAGGAGTTGAACAGGCCTCTCAAACTCCTGAACTGACACCAAGGGCAAACCCAGCTTTGTGGTACATGCTTCTCCATGAGGGCTGTCTTGTTACAGCGATGCAGATGATGGGACAACAGGAGGAGTCTCAGCCTTGGAAGTCTCAAGAAAAGGAACAATCAGTGAGTTCTACTCTCAATTAAATTAAAAGCTCATCCATGGCAAAGCTGCCTGGGAAAGACTCCAGGAAAAATTAGGACGCTACAGGGCTTTTACCCAGGAGCTCAGCAAGAGCAGTGCTGCTGTTCCATATCCGTGAAGCTCCACAACAAGCAAGCAACCATCTCCCGCTTCATGTCACAAAAAGAAACATCTGAAATCTTGATACTGAAAAGGCCAGATTTTGACTTCTGGGGTTGCAGCATGAAGCACCTAGGGAAGCACGTATTATTTTCACATTAAAATCATATTACTTCACCATGGTTAACTTTATTACAAAGAATAGCTCCTGAAATAATCATGATTGGCCTCTTCTGCTAAAGCATAGCTTGTTTGGGCCTGTTTTAAAAGTGATTGGGTCCTACATCATGCTCAGTTGCTGTATAATTCCAATGAAATTACATGCACATTGCCCACTGGAGATTTCATTAGGATAAGTGCCCAGAAATAATGCTATTTAAATATACGCCAGATGAATTAACAACAATCTATCATTTATTATAAAATTTTCCTGAGTAGCCACAATTTATAAAACTGCTTAGAAACTTTGAAAAGTCACATGCTTAGGATTCTACGCAGGGATTCATACCCTGGACACCTAATTTAGGAGTTCATCACACTCAAGCTCTGGTAATTTGTGTCTAATAAGAAAACACAATTAGATAAAAATAGAGCTGCCACTGCATCTTATTCCTTCTACCAGGACGAACAGGTTATTATCAGAATCAAAGCGTCCCTACTCATTTTCTCGAAGAAGGGCACTTAATAAAAGAATGAAATCAGTGAGACTGATGGGCTTGTTTCCTAAATTAAGTGAAATTTCTGAAGTGAAGGGCAGGCTGGTGACTCAGTACAAGCTTTATCCCTCAGACTGAGGTATCCCTCAGTCCAACCTGAGGTCAATGTTATGCCATCATTTACATTCCCGGAGGCAATTACTCAGCCAGCATATATGGAGTTTACTGATAACTGCTTGAATTGTTGATCTCATCTGTCCCACCGTTCTGAGGCAGGAATTCAGTGTTACCTAATGGTCGGATGCATTTATTTGTCCTCAGTAACTTCAAGCCTTTGGGGATAGGAGGAATGATTTGTAGAAAAAGCTGCTTTTTATGAGTGAGTTTTCCGGACAACACATACCCAGTCAGAAGAGCCTTGTTCATAACCACATAGCAGTCTCGGCTCTAAGCTCTCCACTAACTGAAAACGCCTTTTCTGGTATTTTTAAGCACTCGAATAGACGATTCAGTGAAATGTGCTTCTGCTGCCTGGCAGGGGGCTCAATGGCATCTGTATTCTGTTTTTAACCACTGCATTTCTCCTGCTCTCCTCTCATGACCGAGGACGACCGTGTTCGAGGGTCGATCGCTGCAGCAGTTTCATCCTGCTGCATATAATCAACGTGCAGATGACAGGAATATATTATCTTTTAAAATGTTAAAATATTTTAAAATAGAAATACCCCATGTAAACAATTGAAATAGGTTCTCGGCAGCCTTGCGTGTTATGCATCATTCACAGTGGCGTGTGTTCCTGTTGAAACCTGAACCAGCAGACTGAAAGTACAGCAATGAAACAACAGCCAACATCCACCCGGAGCCTGACACAGTTAAGAGGGTCTTTGTCCGGCCTACAACGCCTGGATCGTGCTTCTGTTCCCACTCGGGAGGCAGGGCAGGGCAAGAGCTGGGCTTTTATGGGCTAAACCACAGTAACGTGGGCCTTTATGTTCTCCTTAGGGGGATACGATGAAAACGATGTCACCTTCACGTGGCTGAGGGGAAATGACTCTGTCCATGGCATAGAGAAGTTGCGACTCTCTCAGTACACAGTGGAACGTTATTATACCCTGGTCTCGAAGTCACAGCAGGAAACAGGTAAATCAGTGAAAGAGAAAGGCAAGAAAAGCTCTCAAGTATTTCTCCCCCCACCTCCCTTCCCTTCTGTGGGCCAGGATCTTTTGACTCAAGCCTGAACCAGCGGAGTCTTTAGCAAATCTTAATTTCACAAAAAGAGATGGACAGAAAGATGGTGAAATCCAATTAGTTGCAATCAGGATATTCTGCAAGATGGAAATCCACGGAAAGATGGGGTTTTTAATATACTATATTCGCTTGATGGATTTTCAATTATCTTTTTTGGCTTTTTTTTTTTAAATTCTCCTTCTTTTTTTCTCCACACATACCTGAAGAAACTCTCTCCCTTCCTCCCAGCTGTGCTGACTATAAATACTGCAGAGAGCCGTGTTTACGGTAACTGGGAGTAAAATTAACTTTTAAAATGTACTTTTGTTTGTAAATTACAATTCTATCATGATGGAATAAGATCCCTTTGTACATCAGAATTCAATGTCTTTTTCGTTATCAGTGTAAATACTCTCCTCTCCAATCACAGACGCTAGGAAAGGGGGCAAAACTTCCTTAGAATGACCAGGTTTTGAAAATAACAATGTTTTGTTGTTTACTGTAGTGTACACAGCCCACAAACAACATGGGGTTTGTTTCTATGTTTCAGAGAACTATTGTTCAAACAGCAGAAATATCTCCTGAAAATACTAGCAGTCCAGCCCCAGAACCCTTGTGTCAGTATTACAAGAAATCGATTTTAAAGGACTGAATTTTTTTGAGCACAAAAAGACGCAGTTATCAAAGATCACAAATTACTAATGAATACAGGGGGTCTAACTCCCTGTGATGATAAGATATTGGGATGCTTTGGGATGTGAGCCAGAGCCTGCTGAAACCGAGAGAAAAATCTTTTATTTCCCAGCCATCAGATAAGCCTGAACTTGGCAATGCCCCTTCAAAGCGGTTATTGGGAAAAACGTGCTGTGCTGAGTACGAGAGAATAGATGAAAGCATCAGCCCTGCTCTACTCTGAGTTAAGACACTGGTATAAAATGTTTTCACTGTGGATTAAGTTTGGGAGCCCCTTTGCAAGCCACGCGTTGTTTTAGATGTCTCTTGTCCAGCAACGCTGTCTGTATGCGTCCTCTTGTCTGGGATACGTTAGATAAGTAAGACCTCCGAGGCAAGAAGTCAAGCTTGCGTAAGTAACGCATCTCCCGCGATTTCAGTGCAGCTCTGCTGCCGTAGGTCAGCTGAAGGGCTGGTGCTGGGCTGTCCCAGTTTCAGTTCAGGTGTCCTTGGGAATCTCATCTTCACTGTGTTTCTTCCTTTCGTGAACAGGCAGTTACCCACGACTGATACTGCAGTTTGAGCTGAGAAGAAACGTCCTTTACTTCATTTTGGAGACCTATGTGCCCTCCACTCTGCTTGTCATGTTGTCCTGGGTGTCTTTTTGGATAACGCTGGATTCAGTGCCTGCAAGAACCTGCATTGGTGAGTTACTGCCTGAGGAAGGGAGAAGATTTAAGCAGGCAGGGGAGCCCCTGAGGCCTGGGTAGATGGTAGTTTTCTTGAGCTCCCCGCTCGGTGATAAATGGTCTGCTCGTGTTCTGCTTTTACTTGTGGCAGAGCTGGGTTAGCAGTATGAAGCGTGGAGGATGGGCTGTGGCTGGCACACTTGCCCACCTGCAGAGCCGCGTATGGCCAAGGCTCCCGGTAGATCCCCAGCAGAGAGCAGAGGACACGTTCTTTGTGATGTGCTCTGGCGGGGGCAGGGAGGGGGGGATTTTTTTACTGAAAGCAAGAAAAATAAAAGAGCCAAGTGCCTATTGGAGCCAAGCTGTGAAAGGCAGGGAGAGCCTGTGCGAAGCTAGTAGCTAGAGCTACAAAAGCGTTTCAGTTGATGGATAATTTGGATTTAGTAAGAAGTGATGCGCCCTATCTGACTAGCAATAGAGAGTGACAACATGTGCAGAAGGATAGGCCAAGCCTTTTCCGAAGTGTCCACAAGAGAAGATCTTTCCTTTTCTTTTTTCCAAGGAGTAACGACGGTGCTTTCCATGACAACTCTGATGATCGGCTCACGAAGTTCACTTTCAAAAACCAACTGTTTCATTAAGGCCATTGACGTTTACCTCGGCATCTGCTTCAGCTTCATCTTTGGTGCCCTCGTAGAATATGCAGTGGCTCACTACAGCTCATCGCAAAAGTGTGCAGCTAAAGCACCTCAAGAGGTAAAGCCTGATCTACCTTAATAAGCCTAGTTGCCTTGGATCGACAATAATTAGTCCTCCATTAACTGAATAAGACAAATGGTCTTCCTGTTACGGATACAGTAACAATCGCTTCTCCTAATTGCTGCACACAAAAATTTAGAGTCGGTGACAAACGCGTGAATAGCACTAGAGCGCTGTGTCTCTGACGTAGACTTCTGCACGCCAGCCGAAAGAGCAGCAGCCTTAGCTGACAGTCGCGTTAGATTCGTAGGACCACATTCAGGAAGGTACTTTGGTCTACCACCAGAATCGGGTCTGTAGCCCTGAGCTGAGCTCATGTGAGAGCACGAAGCACCTCTGTTCCTTTCAAAATGCCGCCAAAGAAGAGCCAGTATAACACACCTCTTTCCTCTTCTATGGAATAACTTTGATTAGGACGCTGATCTGGAAAGTAATTTCCTCTACCAGAGGAAAGCTGAATGTTGCTTCCTCCCTTCCCTGAACACAGTCCCAAACACCAGTCCCACAGTGTTCGGGGAGGCGTTGCGAGAGAGAGTGAATTGTTCAAAGTGCTCTGCTTTAGTGCAAGAAATTAAATAGTCAAGTATGATTATAGTCCAGCGGTCATCGAGGGTCCAAGTCCTGTCAGAGAGAAAAGAGGTTTCCCACCTCAATGCTGAGTTCCCCAGCCACTAAGTTACTGTGTAGATGTGAAGAGATGGATGTCGGGTTGCTCAGTGACATAGAGTGAGACTTGCTCAAAGATCTCAAAACACCTCTAGAAATACAGTGGTGGAAACACAGGCATCTCTGGGACTTCAGGCACTCCTAAAACTAGGCAGCAGCTGAAAGGTACGTTTGAACGTTGGGATGAACACATAGGAAGCCGCGTTCTTTTACCTTTATCCTTCTGGTCTCCTTATTGATTAAAGCACTTTGCTGCTGCCAGAGAAGACAAACCCTAAAATTAACTGTACGCTCTTGTTTCCTAGGGGCCTGCAAATGAACTCACTAAAGAAATGGAAGAAGTCAACATCACTAACATCCTCAACAGCTCCATCGCCAGCTATAAACGGAAAATCAGCTTTACAAGCATTGAGATTTCCAGCGACAATGTTAACTGCAGTGACCTGACCATGAAAACTCATGAGAAAATCAAATGCGTCTTGAGAAACAAAATGCACAGGATTATTGGTTATTTCACAATCCAGAACCCCAGCAATGTAGATCACTACTCCAAATTGCTTTTCCCTTTGTTTTTCATGCTGGTCAATGTGTTTTATTGGGCTTATTACCTATATTTTTAGTAGAAATGAGTTGCTTCGTTCTCTTACTTCAGCA